CTATAATACACTCGGCGACAGGTAATATCGGCCACCCACATCGGAGACCGTAACTTTCTCAGTTTTACGAGTTAGCGACTGCTATTTATTTGATTATGTTAGGGATTCGATTGGTAGAAATACGTCTCTTGTGTTAACGAGCCGGACTTCGCAGCTCTTGACATGGCCAGCATACAAAATAGTGATTTTGACACCGCATCAGGTTATATGATAGGGGCTATTTGCACATTATTTTGACAATAATGTGCAGAGTGTGCAAGTTCATGCACAGTATCTACATAGTCTCGAGGTATAAACACTACGACGATGGGAAAGCCTTGTATGTAACAGCCATTTGCAGGAGGAATTATCTTATTCGAGTGGAAATCCACAGGGATTGTATCGGAGGAGCGCACTTGGTGTTCTTAAATCAAAACGGATTTAAAAAAAAAGCATTTATTATGAAAGTTGAACATTCGTTTAAAAAAAACATTATAAATAGCAATACACAACGTCCGCAAACCTCTTCGGTGTATTCATAGCTATGCATTACAGGCACGTGCAAGGCGTGAAACCATTTAAAGACGGCCTCTCTGCTATCGACATCGATCACTGTTTTTTCATGGGAAAAAAGAAGTCGAAGACACCGGTCACGTACGGATCCGTTCCGTTTGTGCTAGACGCTTTGGACCTATCAACAGCTAAAGGGCTCGGATTGCTTCGGGATGACACACCTCTCAACACTACCGACTTCCGTGTACCTGAATACGGCATAGCCCACGAAAAAAACGCAACATTGGGGCGGACACGTATGCGTCACAACAAGCAGTCCAGCAGCGCTGCAAAGAGTTTGCATTAGCCTGTGGCTTCCAGATTCTTGTTGAGAGCAGTAGTTCGGCGAATGCCAAGTACGTTTGCAAGCGTTTGAATGGCCAGCAATTTTTCGACAAAAACATTGATGAAGAGCAAGCCAGATGTCCGTTTTTCTTCAATGTCTCGGGTGGTACTGGAGTTTGGCAACTCACTAAGGCCAATTTCTGTCACAACCACTTAAAAAACGTGGGTTTTACAGCTACTCCCATTGCTGAAGGGAATATTACTTTACCAGCAAAGAAATTGCGGAACACAACCCAACAAGCCAAGCGAGCGCAAGCTCTAGTCGAAACTAAGATGCTCCCAGCCCACAACGGGAAGGCCGACGCATTAACTGGGTCTGAAATTGGATCATTTCTTTTATCTGAGGGGATGACGCTAAGTACGGCGGCGATATCCAGAATCAAGATCTCCATTTCGGATAGTTAAAAGGGGATCGAACTGACAGTTTTCAAAAGCTGGAATCGTACCTTTTATCGATGGTGACCGAAAACCCTGGATCTCTGATGCGTTTTGAGAAGTACTCCGACGGGACGTTTCATCGAGCTTGCTTCATGCCTAGTATTGGTGTCCAGATTGC